GCAGACTCCCAGGGGCACCCCTAGTTTTGGGGCTCTTGGACCTCCTTCACCCCCAGTTGGCAAGGGGACCACACAGTAGTTTATGCCCAGGCAGAATCTACAAAGCCCAAACAGAGCCATGGAGGACAAGGGGTCTTGGAGACGTCTCATCCACAGGGTCACCATGAGTTGAGGTTGACTCAAAGGCAGCTAATAACCACAACCCAGTATTGCTCTAGTGGCAACTGCATCTACAACTTTCTTTATTTAGTAAAGTGAAAATTGAAAGTCAACAGAAACAGTGATATCTTAGGCTTTGAAAGCCATTGTGTGTGGAGCAAAAGGAGCCTTCTTGGGTGTTATCTTGGTGCCCATCCGAAGATGGTGGTGAGTGTGTCTGCGCGGCGGGAGAACGTAATTGCTTTTTAAATAGGAGAGCAAGTTGGGCTTAGTCACTGGAGTTGTTTGTTTTTGCCATAATTAGGTAAATTCATCACTGTTAGATTTTTAATTTGGAGCACAGACACCTTTTGGAAGAAGGAAGTGGCAATGGCCTCCTATGTGCACTATCTCTGCATTGCAAAGATCACTCTGGCAGGTCTGATTTAATGAAAGTGGGAAAACAAATGACCACACTGGGGACAGCCCTAAACTCTAAATATATAATGCTAAAGTCACAGTATCGTCAATGGTGGAAAGGCCACCTGTATACTAAATGTCTGCCTCTCCTGGCTGAGAATCACAAGTTTCAGCAACAAAATAATCTCAGCCAAACAAACAGGCTGCTTCAGCATCAAAATAGTCTAAAAAATAAATGAGCTGATAACCTGTAACCCTAAAAATGCCCTAAAGGCACCAGATGCCCTCTGATCTTGGAAGCTAAGCAGAGTCAACCCAATGAATGTCAAGGAAACTGACAGAACTACCTCTGAGGATTCCTTGCTGAAGAAAACCCTGTGAAATTCATGTTGTAATATAAAGGTATAATTTTAATTTTGCTAGTTGTTTATGTCATAACTATTGCCATTACATTCAGTGATATATGGGGATGTAGAGCCAGTGTGGCATAGTGGTTTAAGTGTTGGAGGAAGACTCTGGAGACCAGGGTTCAAGTCCCAGCTCAGCCAGGAAACCCACTGGGTGACTTGGGGCAAGTCACATGCTCTCAGCCTCAGGGGGAAGGCAATGTCAAAGCTCCTCTGCACAAATTTTGCCAAGAAACCCCTATGATCAGTTCACCTTAGGGTTGCTGTAAGTTGGAACTGACTTGAAGGCACATAACAACAAGAAGAACAGGGCCATTTCATTCAATGATATACGGGAATTACGATTTATGAGGAGTAACATTAGTACAAAAAGCATTGCTAAGGGTTCTGTATGTTGTAGTATGGGAGGAGGTCAATGGGGAGGTGACACCATGAGTTACCACACTGGGTGACACCAACCCTAGCAATGCCACTGGATCTTAACACAGCTTCTTCCACCTGCCTCTCTGGCACAATGCTGCTTTTGTCTACTTTTGCCTTCCTGAAGGCTGCTAGAGCTCACCATGCTATTGCCAGTCCTGCAAGTTCTCATACAGATTTGTTGTGCCCTTGGAAAGCTTAGCTTGGAGGCTCTTTGCTTTGGAGGAGAGACAGAGAAGATCAAGGCTGCTGGATTTAAACCTGTACATTGGAGTGACTCTCCTGGCAAACATGCCTGGACAGATTAACCAGGCGCCTTTTGTTTAATTGCAATCATTAAAATGCCATTAGTGGAATTAGTGTTCATTCTTGACTTTATGATACCGAACACTTGAAAGTAGCTTCTGCTGTTGAAGCAGTTTGCAGGGGAACTTTCAAAGAAGGGAAGAAGGGGGAGAGGGGCTTTGAAAGGGCCACAAGCCTTGCAAATTGCAACGACTGCAATTTACCAGCCAAAAATGTTCATTGTTTTATGTGTATATGCATGAGTGAACTTAAAAATTTTTTTGTGTGTGCATGAGTGAGTTCAAGAAAAGTCCAAAACACACTGTAGAAATAATCCAGTTTGAGACTGCTTTAACTGCCTTGGCTCAGTTCTAGGGAATACTGGGAACTGTAGTTTTGTGAGACATTAAGCCTTCTCTGTCGGAGAACTCTGGTACCACAAGAAACTATAATTTCCAGGATTCGCTAGCACTGAACCAGGGCAGTTAAAGCGGTCTCCAACTGGATTATTTCTGCAGTGTGTTGTGGACCAAAGTGTCAGGGTGGGAAACTCTTTTGTGATATTCAGCTAAGGTGTAGTGGTTGGTTATAAGACACAAAGGGATCTTGTAGCACTAACTTTGTGGAAAAACTTGTAGCATCAGCTTTTGGAGACTTGGTCTACTTCCTCAGATGCAACTCTGCCCTAATGGTTAGAGGATATGGAGGATATATCCATATAAGAGCTTGGAAAAGATACTTTATGAACTACAGTCAGCCCTCCACATCCACTGAGTATGTCTTCTTTAGAATTTTAAAATCTGAAATACTCCATTAATCCAAAATTGTCCACATAGGTGGCTGAGATAGTGACCCTTTTGCCTTCTGATGGTTCATTGTATACAGTTGGCCCTCCGTATCCACTGAGTCCTTATCCACAGATTCAACCATCTACGGCTTGAGATTTTTTAAAGAAATACAACTTCCAAAAAACGAACTTTGATTTTGCCATTTTATATAAGTGGTACTATTTTACTGCACCATTGTACATAATGGAACTTGAACATCCATGGCTTTTGGTATCAACAGGGGGTCTTGGGACCAAACCCCAGCAGATACCAAGGCCCCCCTGTACAACCCCAATGGTTCTCCATGGTTGCAGCCATGCCTGGAGACTCCAAGAATTGAACCTGCATTCAAAACAGGTGCTTCACAACTGCGTTGCAATTTTTCTCCAGGTTGGTCCCAGCGGTCTATATTATTATTTCAGAACGCACACATTTAAATTAAGACCCAAATGCAAGCTAGGATCCCCTGCATCCTGGATGCTCAGGAAAGAGAAACTGGGGCATTTCAAAAGGAGCTGAAAAAGTGGGGCAACTGAGGATTTATCAGGACTGTCCCTGCCAAATTGGGATGGTTGGAGGGTATGTGTTTGTATGCTTTGCCTGTTGGCTTTCCGAATGAGTTGGAAATGGAAATGGGTCACTGAATATATTACGGAAGTAGGCAGATCATCATCTCTAATGGGTTTCTTTTCCCCCCCTCTTCATTTTCTGGGTAAAATTTGCCAGGATTTACTGATCAGGGACACTTAGGGTGACAGTAACCTGATGGTGAAGTTGGGTTAGTTGGGTTTATACCTCAACAACCTTTAGAAAGACCCTCTTGCGGTTCTTCTCCTGCCTCTGCATCAAAATGAATGGTGTCTGCATGGATCCCTTTGAAGTTTTACTGTACTCCTTTGCTCACATTACTCTAAATATTACTCTTTTTTAAAAAGAAATCAGCCCAAAGGGTTGGCTTTCAATTAAGCTCATTAAATATAGCTTGAGCAAAGAGAATTATGCAAATATTCTTTTAAGCTTCTGGAAAATTGAATTATTTGGGGTTCTGACATTATTTTTATTCCCCTCCTTTTGTCAAGCAATTAATATTTAACTCCTTTGAAATAAAACTGCCACACAATATGGCCTTTACAATACGGGCTTAAAATACCCACCTATTCTTTTTTACATCCCGTGATGATAAAGCATCGACGGGGTGATACTGAGTGGCACTTTAATTTGCTTTTTTATTAATCCAGATATGGAGTTGGGTTTAATAACTGGTCTTTATTTCATCCCGTTTAATTTTCTGTCTATTTGTGCAAGCAGACTTTTAAAAAGCATAGGCATTAAAAAAAAAAAAGGGGGGGGGATGACTTTTAAACAGACCTTTCTCGCCTGTCCCTCATAAACATTTTGCAGGCCACCTCGAAATGTATCTCAACTTTAATTCGCTTAGTTACAAGCAATTTGCAACCCGAGTCGTAATCTTCCTAACCTTTGCTATGCCGGTGTGTCCTTGGAGTAATGGAGAAGGTTAGAGTAACACATTAGTAGTCTTTTACTGAGCTCTGGTTATACCTGCGATCTAATGATATTTAACTCTGCACCTAATATGAGCTTAGGAGTGATTACAAAACGTCCTTTGGGACCCGACGGTGGGAGAATTTCCAAATAAGTTGCAAAACAGTGACGGATTGACTTGTAGGCTTGTCAAAACCAATTATCTCCCTTGACAACTCAACTCTGCATTTTTTTTTCTTTTCGTTGTGTATTTTTCCTGCTGCAAAACCAACACAACAAAACAAGAGCTCAATTAACTTATGGAGAAGTCCCGCAAGACGTTATATTTTCGCTCTGCACCTCCGGTTTGTAGAGGACCTACAGACACCTCACATTTCCAGGGCTCTTGCAGAGTTTGGGAATTTGGAGGATGGGCAGATAATCCATCGTCAAGTCTAATCAAATCGCATGCTTGTGATAGACCTCTGGGTCACATATTCGGTATTGATTTATGGGTGCCGCTTCTGGCTCTTTAATTAAAGGCCACTTTTAATTAAGCCTTTGGGACAGAGAATGATCAACCACAACCAACCCCTTTCTCATCTTATCCAATATATTTGGGGTGGTGCAGTGGAGCGCGTTTATTGCTTGAATGCCTGATTTTCTATTTTTAAAAAAGTTCCAATTGTGGATAATGTGAAAAATCTCTAAGCTTCCATTTTGTCGAGTATCTCCAGATCCCAGCTGAATTTTCGTTCTGTCCCTTTTTTGCACAGTTGCTGGAAGCGCTTTCCTTCCTGCACTGAGATTGCTGTGGTTTTAACATAAATTCCTCAATTTGTGCATTAGTTTGCACAATTTACCTAATGTGTGCACTGTCCTCCCATTGACCTAAAACTATTTCTGGTGGTATAGTTTATAGTTTGATTGTTGTCGTTGTTGTATAGCCAAGGAGAGAAGAGGAAGCACTTCTTGGTGTTCTGTGTCATTTTGCAAAATAACTTGGCTGACTTTGTGTACTTTGCACCTTGGTCTGGGTTTCTCAAAGGGCATGACTCGCTGCTCTGCTTCAGGCAGCAAAAAATGTGTCGGGGCGGCCCTGCTGAAACTCTTTGCCTTGAGGAAAAGAACGGGAAACCTTTCATCTTTTGTCCGGAAAAGTCAAACGTATCTGTTCTTTCCTCCTTTCTTGCTCGAGAGGGACAAGACAACATAAATACAAGTAACACATTTTTCTGTGCCTTATGTTCTAAATATCTACTTCTGGGTGACATTTACTGAGGGAAAACATTTGCAAATTACCTGTTTGATTAACAACCCCGTCTTTCACTGTTTCGAAAGGGTAAAGTAATTGAACACCGAGTCGAGTTAAAAACCATGAACTTTTATGTGAGCTGCAGTCTTGGACTGCAAATCTCCGTGCCTCTTCAATTCCTGGCGGCACCATGGCTGCTTTCTTGACTGAATGCCCCGGATGTCAGAGGGCAGAATATACTTGGATGAGGTCTGAACAGCCACTGAAATAAGTGCAAGGGTTGACACATCCATCTGGGGTTCAGTTGTCATAGAATCATATCATCCTACAGGTGGGAGACCCCAAGGGTCATCCAGTCTACTAACCCCATTCTGCCATGCAGGAAGACACCGTCAAAGCACTCCCTAGGACAGGTGGCCATCCAGCTTCTGTTTAAAAACCTCCAAAGGAGGAGACTCCACCACTCTCCAAGGCAGCATCTTCCATTGTCACCCAGAAGTAGATATTTAGGACATAAGGCACAGAAAAATGGCAGCCCAGCAACTCTGCGTTACTTGTATTTATGTTGCCTTGTCCCTCTTGAGCAAGAAAGGAGGAAAGAACAGATATGTTTTACTTTAAAAAAGCTGTCAAGACGGATCTCTTCTGGCAGGCCTTCCCTGAATAGATCACTTTACCTCTCTAGGTGTGCTCTCTCCTCTATATATCCTTTTATACCTTCACTGGTGTTGTAGAATTATTTGATGTCTTACCTTATGTTTTAGTTTAATTTTGTATATTATATTGCATTTATTTTTTTATTAGGGGGGAAAATATTACTTATTGTTATTAATGTTTTGATATAGGGTATGTTTTATTTAAACCTAACCCTA